GCGGGCTGGGGATGGAGGGCTTGAAAAAGTTCCTGAATTGGACGGGAACCGGTCTCCTTCTCCTTCTTCTGCTTCCAGCCGGCGCTTTGGGGCAACCGGGCCGGTCTCAACTGTGGAGGGCGGGCAGCTCCGGTGAAGCCAACTAAGTCTCCGATGACTGCCTGTTGAGCAGGTCGGGCCAAGCCCGGGATAGAGGGAGAGGGGACGACCGGCCTGCTTCTTGTATGGCATCGTGCTGGAAAGCCAAAAGGATGTTGACGGTTTGGCGGTTCATCTGCACGGCAACCTTGTTGCCAAAGATGCCCATGCCCAGGACATGATTGCCGGCAGTCTCCTGGGTGTGAGTGTGACAGTTGAAGACGATTCTTCCGGCGGCATCTCGAACGGCCTTGGTCATACTTCTCTCGGCCGCTTGCAGGAGTTCTTTGTCCTGTTGTTGGAGTTCCTTCACGAACTCTGCTCCAACCCCATCGATCAAAATGAAGTTGAGGGAGTCAGTTGCGGCGATACGCTAGCCGCATTGGCCATGCTCGACCAGGTCTGCCATGTTGTCTTAACTTGAGAAACGGGCACGGCGTGTTGACGAATGCTGTCGAGAAGAAATGAGGGTGCGAGAGAGGTTGAAGCGGAGGGAGAGGAATCATTCCTGGAGGATACGGACGGAGCAATGTTTGTCACTTGACCGATAACGCGCCGCTGTTTTCGGACGAGGAGCCGGTCCCCGTCGAAGAGCACATTACCTTAGGATCCGGCTCAATCACATGGAAGGAAGCCCACCCACATCGAACGCTTGCAGCGCGAATCCTCACACAACGCCAACCTGAACCCACCCACCCCCGCTGCGCCGCCAGGCCAGCCAGCCCCGAGCAACCAACACCCCAACCAAGGGGAAAAAAAAGAAATAAAAGAACAATACCAAAAACTTGAAAAATCAAGGAGAAACAAGAGCAAAAAAAAGATATGCGCGGTCCGGGATTCGAACCCGGGATAATACACAGTCTGTCTTTTTTGTACTGCGGAAAAACAGCCGAAAAACCGCCTGCCCCCGGTTCGAACATGCGTCCTCGGGATGCATTAATGGGAATCTGGTCCCTCAGAAAACTGTTTTTTCACGATAACCGTGACGGCACGGTAACATCCGTTCAGCTCAGAGTAACGGTTCTCAGCAAAATAACCGTACACCTCAGAATAACCGTTCTAAGAGAATCCCTGGGCTTTGATTGGCTGGAGGAAAACTGGAGCGCCATGTGCTTCAGGCGGGAGCTAAAAGAGTTGAAGAAACTCCCCTTTTGGGAAGGGACGATGAAAATAAGAAGGAAGGAAGGTAGAAGGAGAGAAAGAAGGAGAGAAAGAAGGATGACGTCAACCAAGGTTAAATCCTTTAAAATGCCAAAGTCCCATCGACTCCCCAACTCTCCCAACTTCATCCTTTTCATCCTTTTCATCACCATTATCACCATCATCACCATCATCACCATCATCACCATCATCACATCACAAGGTACGGCTGCATCCCCATTTTATTTCGTTAACTAACTTTTATAGCAACGACGACGACGACGACAACAACGATAACGATAACGATAACGATGGCGATGATGATGATAACGATAGTGGTGGTTTGATTTGGGTGGGTAACGAAGATTGGGTGACGAAGATTGGGTGACGAAGACTTGGGAAGGCGAAGACTTAGAAAGGCGAAGACTTGGGAATGCGAAGACTTGGGAATGCGACGGTTGTGAAAAGGAAGTGACGAGCTAGGTATTAGGAGTACCGAAGGCTTGGTTACCTTACCCGTAGATAATGAGATTTCGTAGTATAAAAAAGAAAAAGGCAAGAGCTCCCATTCCCAAACCAAACCAACCAATCAGAGGCTAGGGATCCGCTTAGAACGGTTATTCTGAGCTGAACGGTTATTTTGAAAAGAACGGTTATCCTAAAAGAACGTGTTTGCTTACATTCAACGGTACCAGGCAGGTACGGTTACCTGTACCCCTAGATTAGCAGTAATGTGCCATCCCCTCAGCACAAAGGTCCAGTGTGTACGCGTTAGACCACTCCGCCAACCGCGCTTGGTTGTTGTTATAAGGTGCACACAAAGATCTAATACATATACCACTAACGAAGAGGGACATGAAGGAAGAGGAAGGAGCACGGTTTCTACCTAGCCTTGTAGTCCTGCCTGCAAGCCCAACGGCCTGCACGAGCTAGCCCAGTGCTCGAAGCCGTGTTTGTACCCTTCCACATGCGGGACGGGAGATTGTCGGTTTCTTCCGTTCTAGGTTGTTTTTTTCTCCTTGTCATCTCCTGTGCTTGCCTCCATCACCGTCAGCAACCACCATCTCCCACAACCACACCCACAACCACACCTCCAAACTCCACATAACAGCAACAGCAACAGCAACAGCAACAGCAACAGCAACAGCAACAGCAACAGACGCAGCAACAGCAACAGCAACAGCAACAGCAACAGCAACAGCAACAATGATGCTCCTCCCCAACGAAGCACGCCGACTGCACCACGACCGCCAAGTGTTTGGCAGCATCCCTGCCACATTTCCACTCCGATTCTGTTCGGAAAGGTGGCCTCGCGTTGCCCGGTGGCGAGACTGCCAAGTCTTCCATTGCTATCTTTGCCTGGTCTGCCGCCCCCGCAGGCGCATCGTCATCACCATTTGGATTCGGAGATTCGCAAAGTAGGTACTGGGAGAGAATCGACAAGATGGCGCGGGGACAAGAGGTGAATGTTCGGATGGGCTGGAGGGTTCGGTTTGACTTCAGCAAGGAGACCAAGGAGGTTGAAGTGTCGAGGCAGGACGATAAGGCTTGTGGTCATGTACCTCTAGGTTTGCTTGTGACTTATCTCTGATATCTGTTATACAACGAAAGGAAGCTGACCAGGGGCAGGCATGCCTTCAGACCTTGGACAAATGGACTTCCCTGGACTTGAGTGCACGAGATGGACAACAGAAGCATGATAACGAGAGGAGGGATGCCAGATATGTTTTGACGAGAGACGGCACACCAGTGTGAGCATGATAGCTCAGGCACAGGCGGTAGCGAACATGGAAGGTCATCGTGTGATATTATTGGCAACGAACAACATTGAGACTGTTAGAAGGAGTTGATCTATTTACTTGCACGATTCTATGACTATGATTACAAGGTTCATGCATTTCCACGCAAGGTCAATGCCTTGCATCTGCAGAAGCCCACCGTTGTCCTTGCAGCCCAAATGCAGGAGATCCAGTCACTGATCCGTGGTCAGGAGCGGGGGCTTGGATGATGTCTTCATTGGGTCTATCAACAACTTGTGGTCGATGGGAATGCAACCACTGATGGTGTGTGCCTGGATGGGGTGGAAGCAGTGGTGATGCTTGTTTTTTTCTTGAGCGATTACAAGACGGAGGGCTTGTGTCGCTTCCGCAATCCTCGTGGAAGCGACCCCTCCTCTCAACCACATCCCAAAGACCCAGCCGTCGACGATAATGGGAGACAGAGGCTGAGCGCGACGGCGAGAGCCTACATCAGCAACGGACAGTGAAGTCTGTGGAGCGTCATCAAAATCGTTAGCAGTCGCACTGTCTTGAAGTTGAATTGAAGACTTACCGTGGACACTCGCACCTCAGACGTTGGATGGCAGTGCTGACCCATCAAACGGATGACATTGGCTCAGACGCCTCCCTTTGGGCTTGAGCTTGCTGTTGCTGTGGCTCGAGCGAAGAAGCGAGGATGGCAGAATCCGAGTAGGACTCGTTACAGTCCGCAGGAGCAGCACCAACCAGGCGCGAGAAGCACCTCTAGGCCGGGCGCAACAAAGAGAAAGTTGTGGGAAAGCCAAGATGACGCGGGACCGAGGGAGAAGCAGCGGAGATCTCGATTGTCATGATTGAGGCCCAGGGGGGCGGACCTCGACTCTGTTGTAGGGGGAGTGTCAGTGATCACAACCCTTAACTCGGGATGAAGGGAATGGAATGGTCTTACTCGACATAAGGGCCAAGTGTCCGCCCCCTGGGAGAAGCAGCGGAGATCTAGATTGGCATGACTGAGACCGAGGGGGGCGGGCCTCGACTCTGGCGTAGAGGCAGTGTCAGTGATCTAAAATCTCGACTCGGGATGAAGGGGAATTGACTTACTCGACGTAAGGGTCAAGGGTCCGCCCCCTCGGATGATTCAATGGCCTCATCAACTGTTGATCGAGAACGGCGGGACGATGTCCTGCTCACGAAAATATTGCCACGGTTAGATCACTACCATGGGCATGTCAGATGGGCTGACGAGCAAGAAGGACATACTTGAAGTTGCTGGGTGCCAACAGCCCCGAAGGACGCCAAACGGGCATGCCCAATGTTCCAACCCAGGATGGGACTAAAGGGCGAAGGGGGGGCAGCGGTCTGGTTGTGACCGAGATTGCTGCTGCTGCCCCCCCTTCGTCTCGCGTTATCTTGTTCTTTCGTTGCCCTCTGCTGTTGTTATGGTGGAGGTCAAGTTCGCTTGGCCCAACAAGAAGAAGGTCCGTGTCAGCGACGACATATGCAGTTGATGAGGTGCCGGTGGTGTGGTGTGGTGGTGAGGTTGGGGTGAGGCTGGAATTGTGATAAAGGAAGAGAAACGGAAGAAGACCAGAGGACGGGAGGACGAGGATTTTGAACCAAGGGGGGCAAGTCAGATTCCTCTCAGCAGACCACAAGACCACGTCTGGGGTTTCTAGGTACCTACAGGTACTGTAGCCCTAACTCGTCACCTTACCAGTCTCCCAACCATGAAACAAATCGAAGGCGAGGGACCAGCAGGCAGCCACGGGATCTAGAGGGCAACTTCGACGAACGAAGCAGGAACAGCCTGGCCCTGGGCAGCAGACCGGCGGAGGTACCAAGGTACCACCGGGTACGTACACTCCCGTCCTCCTCCCAAGGCCAAGGCAGTCAACCGGGGTCCGGGCTCCTTCCCTCGGGGTATATGTATTAGATATTTGTGCACACCTTCCAACAAAAACCAATGTGCGTTTGGCGCAGTGGTCAGCGTGTTCACTCCCAAACTGGGGTTCTGGAGAGCTGGCATCCCTCACAGTAAACCCCGGGTCCCTTGGTGGCTCTTGGGATAAAGTGAAAGGCCCCGGGTTCGAATCCCGGATCGCACACATCTTTTTTCCCCTTTCTTTTTGCCGTTTGTTTCGCCTTGCCCACCCCGCTCTCCATGTTCGTGTCCCGTCCTGTGTGATGGCCCATGCCCCAGTGGCTCGGCTCGTCGGTGACACTCAGAGGCTGGATTTGGTTTACACAGAGAGAAGGAGCGTCTCCTAGCCGCAGTCAATAACAGTGCAACTCGCGTCATCAGAGAGACCGAAGTGGCACAAAACCGTGTCAACCTCAAGGCGGCGAACCTGTGTCTTTGCAGCTAGACGCATGTTGAGAGTTCAAGAGGTGAAATATTACGTCCAGATCACTTGCGAAGCTTGTCCCGAGATTCTACGAGGACACTTGCAAATTTTGGAACAAACCCAAGAATCACACAGCCGTGATCAATTTTCCTATCACCGCACATTGTTATTAGAAGACATGGTTCTCGCGATTTCGAGAAAGATGACGGAGACTTGGTGTCAGTTACCAGATAAACGGACACATCATCCCGCCAACACAATCCACATTTCCCGCGCCTGACCTGGAACTGTCCGGTCTAGCATCAGCTTACTAACGGCACCGGCAGGGACTGGACCATCAGCAGCTACTACAACACCTGGTCAGCCCAACATCTTGTTTGCGTGAAGAGATGGATCAATTTGTGAGCGAGTATGAGATGTGAAGTGCGAGGTGACCAGCAGCACCACCGTCGCCCTCACCTAACGATTACTAGCAAAGAGCAAATATGAAGTTGGCGGGCATGCCAGACCAGGCACCGTGTCTTCTTCCATTTGCTAAACGCGAGAAATCTTCTCGTGCGGACATGGATGCATGTCACGAACTGGAACGGCAAGAGAAACATGGCAGTACAAACACAGGGCTTGAGCAGGCAGGGAAGTTCACGGCGAGGAAGATCACACAAGAGTCACACCAGGCAAAATCATAATCAGAGTGGCGAGAAATTTGATGTTTGTCGAAGTGAACCGAGTGAAAGAACAAGAAAGAAGAAAGAAAACCACCGAAGAAGAAGATAGTGAACCACCACCGAGCGACAAGTACCGAATCTTGCCAGACTGTCGCATGTCCATCACGAAGTATCAAGCTCCTCAAGATGCAAAATGAAAGAAAAAAGAAACCCAAACACCAAACACCGCGCGATAGTTGTTCCCCCTCCTCCCTCCACTCCTCCAAACTCACCCCACCCCCACCCCCCCTGCGGAAGATCTCCTCTTCCCTTCAGCCCATCCCCCCCCGACAACACCCCTCCAGCTCAGACTGGGTAGTGTCAAAGTGTATTCGGTGCGCGTCGCGCGGCCCGAGGTCTTGTAGGCAGGTCGACAAGCGGGATGTCGCCGCTCATTTGGTTGAGCTCGTGGCTCGAAAACAGACCTACGTCCGGGTTGCCGTAGCGCCGCGGAGCTGTGGCAGGACAAGGAAGCGTTAGTGACGAAGTCGCGACAAAACGGAGGTGAAGTAATTGTGAGGAAGGGAAAAGTGAATGGAATGGCGTGAATGAAGCAGCAGAAATCAGAAGTGTAGAAGTAGGTACTCACAAGGTGTCGCATCTCTCTCTTCTCCACATGAGGTAGAGGGCCAACATGATGATGATGACGGTCATGAAGACAAGCAGGGCAATGAGCGCCACCGAGTTGAGGATGTCGTTGGCGGTGCTTGTGTTCAAGTTGTTGGCGTCCATTTTGATGATGTGTTGAAGGCGCTTGTGGTTTGGGTGAGACTTTGGCTTGTGTGATGAGAGGAGTGATAGAAGTGTGGTTGTGTGGGGGAGAGAGAAAAAAGAAGAATAAGATTTTCCCCGGCGTTGAAGATTTGGGATACCTTTATACCCCTCCAGTGGCAGGTACCTCGCGAGTGCAAATTTGGACAACTGCCAGACAGCTCGGAGACCGGATGGAAGTGAAGGCTGCCAGTGGCAGGACACGAAGAAATCTGGCAGAGTGAATGGAAGGAAAGAATTCAGCTGGCAGGAACGACAAGATCAAAAGATCAGACGACGGGACCGAAATTTCAATACCACACGGGATGCCAAGCTCCCAAGCTGGCACTTCTTACAGAGGAGCAACATGAAGAGCCATGACGAGGAGAGATGTGTACGAAGGGCAAGAGCAAGAGACCGTTTACACGCCGGGACCGAAGCTGTCAGGCTGCCAGCTCCCAACCTCAAGGTTCAGATTGGCATTCACCAGAGACGTCACTGCATGAGGGCCAGAGCCTCAGCCAGCAACGGGGTACGTAGGTACCTGCTGGCCTCCACTTCCTTCTTCCTTCACTCCTTCTCAATCCTCAACTTGCCCTGACCCCTCTGCCAACTGAAGAACTGCCTATTTCCATGTTCATCACAAGAGGAAAGCACAAGCTACTAGAGAAGATGGAGGAAAGACTTTATTCGGACGGGAAAGGAAGGGTAAGGCAAACGGAAGAAGCAAGAGCAAAAAACAGACGACAGGACCGATTCTGTCAGGTACCAAACTCTGGCCGTCCTCCCGAGCAGTACCTACTACTTAGTAATCACAGAAATTTCCAGAGGCATCACGGCCAGCAGCAGTGTACGTACCTCCTGCGTTTCTTACTACCTGCCATGGATCTTCTTGTATTCCTTCCTTCCCTCACGAATCTTGACTTCCATCTCCTTCTCCCTCCGCTAGCGGAATGACTGCCAGTTGCATGACAGGGATAAGGCAGAAGATGGCAATAGGAACGGAAGGAAGGAAAGAAAGACTTGATCTGTCAGGAAGGGCACGGCCTAGGGAAGGAGCAAGAGCAGAAGATCAGGCGACGAGACCGATGGCTGAGATTACCAGGGGCAGGCTTCCAACCATGTCCGCGACCTTCCAGAGCAGGCAGTCACCATTGACTACATTACCTACCTATTCTAGAGCCGCAGCCGTGCCAGCAGAGGTACCTCCCTTAGGTACATTATGTTCCTTGTGCCTTCCTCCTTCCAGCCAAAATCTCAACCTAGGGTACCTACGTGCCCCTCCCATCTGGCCTCTGCCCTCTGCCCTCTGCCCCGCCTTGCCCCCGCCCTCTGCCCGACTTTTGCCCCCCTGTCTTCCACTCAAAGCAGGCAACTACCTTACCTACCTCATCCTCCCCCCTCCCCTACACCGCTCCAATCACTTCGAATACCTGGATAAGCTCACCCTCTTCGAATCCCGATTCGAACAAGAGCCCAAAGAAGCGCGGTTGGCGTCGTGGTATAACGTGTCCACCACTTGACGGGCACATACATACGGGTTGAAATCCCCGCCGGACCACGTTGAAAGACCGAATTTGAATTTGGGGCTATATACTTGGGGTTGAGGAGCTTGAGTTTTGCACGTCGACGATCTCTCGTATCAGGGGTTGTGCTGACGCTTGAGAGGAGAGACAGAGGGGAGTGTTGAAGCCGGTTGCTGATTTGTGATTCTGTTCTGAGCTGGATTCAGTTCTTGCCTCTCTGATGCCTCGAGACTTTCGAGTGTCTTTGACACTTTTTTTTCTTTTCCTTCTTTGCAAGATTCAACTTGCTTCGTATTACTTTGACTGATGCCATTCGTCCATGTGAATGTCAAGCCATGGCCTAGGACTAGTATTACTTCCACGGACACTGCTTCTTTCCGGAATCTGGAGGCTGGTGATGATAACTCCAGTGATGCAAGGTCACTTTACAAGAACAATCAACGTCGTGAGGATGGCATATTCGTTGGTCATGCATGTACAAGAGACACTCGACGGTAACAACATGTATTTCAACAGATAGAAGCTATTACGAGAGTGATGACTGCTTTCACCTTCTTGGAAACAAACCTACCGCAGCGGGAATATAAGGAGGTTTTCTAGACTAGAAGGTAGTTATCTAGGCTAGATCTGAAAACTAAACTTGTCTGGTGAACTAGCCTAGATGCATTTGTTTAGCCTAGACGAATTGATTTAGCCTAGACGAAAAATGGAGGCCTTTGATTGGTCGGATTTGAGTGCAAAATGGTAAAAGCCAAAGACCCCTATAGGGGCCTTGTAGAAGGTTACCTTACTATAGGGGTTATTAGTTAATAGTAATTTTTCCGATAATCTTTAGTAGTCTAAGACTTTGGCTTCAAAGTCCGGATGAAGGTATTTACAGTTCCGCGCGCGAAACTTTTCGCGCAACGGAAAAAAAGCTGTTACTAGTTGGAATCGAACTAGCGATCACAAGGGAGACAGCGACGACAAGAACCATTGAACCACTAGCCCAATTAATTGAAATTGGGCTTCGTTCTTTCCTTTAATATAGGGTAAGAGGAAATGAACTTTGGGAAAGAAGGAACTATTACCAAAATAGATTTAACTAATCAAAGGCCCCTATTGGCCGTTTAGCCTAGATCAATTTGTTTAGGCTAAATGCTCAGTCTAGCCTAGACGAACATTTCTAGCCCAGATGGCCGCTTTATTTTCCCGCTATGGTAACAACTCCGGGAAGCGAAGAGGAAGGACAAGGTTGACAAAGAGTGAAAGTGGAGATGGAACGTGCAAGATGGGAGGAACTGTTGGATAAGGTAGATGTACCGCAGCATGTTCTCGAGGCACACGGACTCATGCATGGATAGAACGCAAAGGCGACGGTCTGCTTCAACACTCCGTGTTTTCTCTATCTAGGGCATAGTCTACCTCCCTCCTCTACCTCCCTCCTCTACCTCCCTCCTCTATCTCCCTCCTCTACCTCCCTCCTCTACCTCCCTCCTCTATCTCCCTCCTTTACCTCTTCTACCTGGCGACGAAGCCAAGGTTCGGAACACGGCGGAAAATACGGTCAAGCTCCTCCGGCGCTCCCCCGCCTAATGATCTCCTAGGTGGGCTACGCCCGCGGGTACCTATGACAAGGAACAAATGGTCAGCATTCGTCATCGTACTACAACCACAGCAAAAGGAGAAATTGTCTGAAAACAAGCAAACACATACACTCTATGTTATGTTGTTAGCAGAGGCCGAAGGTCCAGAACATCGCTTGACCGGTATAGTCACAGCACCGCTTTTGATAGTCGTCGTTGCCCTCTGCTGCCACTCATGCTGCCACTCATGCTGCCGTCACCGAGAAGGTTGCAGGAAGGATATTGGCTGCTGACAAGAAAGTCGTTCTCCGCTTGCCGGAAGAGACTTCATGCCGGTGGGTTGGACCAGAAGACACCCGTATACCGCACACAGTATAACGCAGATAGCACGGTTGCCACCATCAGGAGAGAAGGGCATTTGAGGAATCTGCACCTTCAATCCATCCTCGTTGGTCCAGAGCTTGACTTCCCGCACCGTCCCTAATGTCCTCGCGCACCCTTTTTGCTTGCGGTCTTCAGTCGGTGTGTGAGGAGAACACCGGGCAAGGTTCCGCTGATCTCACCAGCGAGCCCTCTTGTCGACGACATCAAGGACGATCTTGCTCTTCTTTCCGCTGGTCTGGGGGAGGTTGAGTTCGAGGGTGTTCTTGAGGCGGCCGATAGAGGTAGTGGTGATGATTGGATGAAAAGGATGGTGGTGATGATGAAAAGGATGGTGGTGATCCTATTGAGTGAAGGAAGAAGAAAGAAGAAAGGTACAGGTAGAAAGGAGGAGAGACCTCTTTCCATCTTGCAGCCAAAGTCTTGGCCTACCTTAACGCTGCCTTAATGTTGCAGGATTGCAGCTGCGGATCCTGCACGTTAACACGTTTATTTCCTAAAATCCCTAACGCGGACCCGAACAGGCCTTAGGTGACTAGTAGTTGGGTCGGTGACAACCAGCGAATCCCAGGTGGGGAGGAACCTCGCCGAACCTTGCGTAAAACCGTTTCACGAGGTGATGTATCGTGACGAAGACCCTGATGCTTCCTGCACTTGAACAGGGCAAGTACCATATGAGTGGACGACGGGGAGCATTGGAGGAGCATGTTGAGGAGGGCGAGATTCGAGAGGAGAGTGGCTACTGCCGAGGGGATTGGTTGGAGTGTCTGTGTCATTAGGGTGTCAGACTTCTGTTTCTTGTGGTCTTGCTGCTTCTCAAGCAAGAAGGAGAGGTAGATCTGCGAACAAATAACACCAAAGTGAAGGAAAATGACACTCACGCTTTGAAGCCTTTACGGGCGAGGGAGCCCCTTGGGCTTCGGGGTGCTAGTCACATAAATCAGGAGGGAGGCCTGGCGGATAACCGCATGGGCTGGGAGAGGGTAGGGGCCCGGGACACGGGAAGTCTGGTGCTGAGACCGGGTGGTCACCACCGCATGGATCGCGGTGTCCGTGGTGGGTGCGATGGGCTGGGCCGGATGAGGGAACGGCCCGGGACAGGTGGTGCCGGTGGTGTGATGTTGGTCAGTCTGCTCATGGTGAGCTTGCTGCTGCTGCTGCTGCTGCTGCTGCTGCTGCTGCCGCCATGATTGTCAGCTGAATGCTCAGATGGACGGGAGTGATGGCGCGTTCACCCTGGAGTGAAAGCAAAGTGACGGCCCTGGATCACCCACGGTGGTGACGACGCGGGAATCCTTGTAGAAGGAAGTTTCTTGCCGTGATACAGGAGTGGTCTTATGCGGAAGGAGATGGAGGTATGTGTGGAGGAATGAGGTCAAGGTGGGGGACAGCGATGAACACGATCTGAGATGGCGACTTACTGGCGAGGACATGTTGTAGTGGCCTTGATGAAACGGCTTTGGACCTTGTTCTTGCGAAGCTTGTTGGTTGTAATGGGGAGTCGTGTTGATGACGATGGTTGGAGATGGAAGTCAAGGAGGAAAGGAAGAGGAAGAGAGTGGAAGCAAGAAGAAGAGGATTTTACAACCTCGCGGGGACTCACAACCCGGCTCAGCCTGCGAGATCCAGTCCGGCACCGGGTAACAGCGCAGCTGCCTGCCAAATTTGATCTTCCAATGTGTGCGTGAGGGTGGCCAGGCTGGAAGGAAAAAGCGGAAGGAACGAGGAGTATGACGCCCACGCAGCCAGGCCTCAACAGCGGGCGGAGGTACGTACCTCTACCCTGTCCTCGAGGTACCACCATATAGGTCAGTCGTCTATGCCTTCTGTTCCAAACAAAAAAAGCGCGGCTAGCAAGACGGTCAACGCATCCACCTTTTTGGAGACCATCCGGGTTGCAATCACCGGCGAGCCACAATTAAAGACCGTTTCTGGGGGAACAAATGGACGTAAGGAAAATGTGGAAGACCCAGGTTCCAGTGCTGGACCGCGCAGTCATGTTTTTGGTATTTTCCCATGGTGAAGAAGAAAACCTGAAGTCAGGCAGCTTATATCTGGTGCACGAAATACTTCTTGCTGGTGATAAGAGTTCTCCTGCGTCACTGGCAGTCTCTTCCACTTGCACAATGAGCTTGATGACGTTGTTCCTCCACTACATGTAGACCACATACAACTGCTGCGTCAAGTTTGAAGATTTTGCTATACATTATCTCAAGGGAACATCTAAAGCCTTGGGAAATGACAGTCTATGGGAAAATATAACTGGAAGCTCAACATCGATGAGAAGTAGTCAATAATCCTCTTGACTTTGCAATAGAGAGACGCAGAACCAAATGAACAGGGACTACAAACGAGGGGCAACAAGAAGCACCAGGGAAAAAGATAACAAGGAGAAAGAAAGAGGAATAAAAGGAAGAAAAGCAAAAAAGGATGTGCAGTCTGGGAGTCGAACCCAGGACCTTTCGCAGCCACCGCGGATTCCAGCACTGTCTAATGAGGTGTGCCAACCCCCATATTCGGTACTGGAACCTTCCGCGTTGAGAAGCGAACGCGCTGACCACTGCGCCAACCGCACAGTTGGTTGTTTGTTGAAGAGGGGACACAGAGATCTAATACATATACCCCTCCTCGACGAGTGCCAGGAAGGGCTTTCGTATCAGCGACTAAAAGCATCGAAGCTTGCCCTGGGTTTCACCCCTTCATACTTGCTGCGACTACAAACCACCACCTACCTATTTGCAGAACATGGGCTAGCATGGAAATGGAATTCTCTGTCTCGCTCAACCTCCGCATTCGGTCTTCAAAACACAGATACCAACATTCGTAATGTACCCACCATGCCTGCCGCTTGTGATAAGAGGTATACACGTTTGGCGAGCGGGTTCTCTCTAGTTCACTTGAAGGAAGCCATACGTAGAGGTAGCCATACACGCACGACATCGAACTCTGACCATCTTTCTCTTCCAGCGTCACGCAGACGCCAAAATTCTCTCCTACCGATACATTCCCCGCCTTCATGTTTCTTATAAGTTGCGAGTCGTTGAGGCACGTAGCCCCCACCAACATTTTTCTTGAACCACGGCTAGACCTGCGTGGCAAGTTTCAAGAAGGCAAATATGAGTGGACCGAGCGCGATGGTGATTGGAATGGTCCGAAGAAAGTGCTGAGCAAGCTTCGAATTATCTAAAACGCCGAGGAGCTACGGATGAGAATTACCGTCGCCGAGACGAAGAAGCTCCTTGACCGGTCGGCAACGAGAAGTTCCTTGAGGGCTTCAACACCGTCAATGAGGCGATCAGAAGTGACACAGGCTTGGTCGGTGCCAAGAAAACCAGGCACCAAGGACACTGTTCGTCATGTCGTTACCGCAGTTGAGGCCTCTCCTGCTCGGGCAGGGCTACAGACGCAGGAGGCTTATGACAGAACGAATGCCATAGATACGGTATCGAGGGAGTTGATCTCCGGCCGGTCGACGGGCGTCCAGTTACTGCTTCGCAATCCAGGCGTAGCCTTTCATTAAAGTAGGTACCTTACTCTCACAAATGGTGCCCAATAACAGGGTTGAACTGTTGGGTACCTGAATGTCCCTCACTTGGTTCAAGTCCAGGACCCACATCTCTGTCTCCCGTCCTGATAGAAAAAGTCCTCGAGGCCGTGGTAGGTACCTCTAGAGGGGACGACACGTCCTATTCGGCCTAGCGTCTTCGTCGATGTTGTCGTCTGTCGAGCTCTTCCTTGGTGACCAAGCCCCCATGTTGTACATACAGGCTGTGGTACTTGTTAGTGAGTAAAGTAGTTGTTCACTGCGTTGTGGAGTTGTTTACCTTAATACCTCCCGCTCGATTGTAGACTTGTTCGATATCGCTTGCTACGTTGTGATGACTCCCGTCGATAAGCGTTGATGCTGTTGATATCAAGTCCCTACCATGATTCATGACGTCAACTTCCATTTTCAGTCCTCCTAGGTAGTTTCACCACGACTCCACCGTTCTCCAGCAAGTGGTGGAATCTTTCAAGTGATATCCTGCCATGTACAATTACAGGTTCTCCTGCTCCAGTTGTCGAATTGTGACGGCTTTATGAACCCGTCCGCCCCAATGCAGTGATAAGAAGTAGTGTTACGCCAAAATAGGGGTCCGCGTCAAAATGTGCAACAGTGCAACTTGAAATGAATCATGTCCATCCAGTCTATTTGCAGTGGATCTGGTCTACCACATGTGCTCCAAAAAGGGGGCCCTTATCCAAAATGCCCCCCCTGCCCATCCTTCCTTATATCCGAAGCATCCGAGCCAGCTTCCCCAAAACCTAAATATACAGGATGAATGCCAAATGCAGGACGCAAAAATAAAGAATAAAAAAACCTTGCGCGTTTGCGTGATTGTTCGCCGAACTCCATCTTGAAAACCCGAAAAACCGAAAAACCGAAAAGGAAACCATTAAGAAGCTAGGCCCAATCTGTGGCCGTAAAATGCGTAGTCCAGAATTAAGAAGGCCTGGGTATATCCTCAGAGTGTATGTCTTCTTCTTACTCCACCAGATGCCGGATGGAAGGGGAAAAGGAAACAAAGAGGCTGGTGGTCCACTGAGTCCTCCTCAAGTCGGGGGAAGAAGGGACAGACTTTCGTTTGTCTTTGCGTCTTCAATAAGATATCTCCATGGTGGCGTCTGGCGTTTTAATGAGTCTCCTTGCTGATCACCTCCTCACGCTCCAGACCTGCTGGCCTGGTAACGGAGAGGTGCTTGGGGAAAGCCTTGACGATTCCACCACCGGGGGACTCCGTGAAGGGGTTGGGGTCGGAGGCCTGGTCAAGGTTGCCAAAGGTGTGGTTGACGCCACGATGGGAAGCCTCATCAGCCTGTGAATTGTTAGCAATAGAACGATCTGCAGAGGTGGTGACGAAACCTACTCTAACGTAGAGGATGAGATCCTTCATGGTCCTGTGACCCTCGGGCATGTTCCAGTAGCGGACAGCAAGCTCGGGGATACGGAACTTGGGGTCAGTCCACTTCTTCAAGCAGCCATGGTCGAGCTCGAGCAAGCAGCGGGTGTAAGTGTGAACAGCCTCTTCCTCAAGGTAGCCGACGAAGCGGTGGCAAATCTTGGGAGAGAAGAGATAGGAGATGAACATGGCGTTGTAGAAGACGCCCTGGGCACCGAGCACGACAAGTCTCATAAACCTGCCAGGCTTGTACATCTCGAGGAAGGTGAGGAGATGCATTCTCTCGTTGTAGGACTCCTCGAGAAGGGACTTGATCCAGCCCTGATCAGGCTTGAAACGGCGGATGGAGTGGAGATGGCGCAAGCTACCAGCAACCATGCCGGGGACACCAGCAATGGACTCGAGGAAGATGAAGCGGACGAGCTAGTGTTGTTAGCCCAGAACGTGCTCAGTGAGTTGGTTGAGATGAACCTACCCATTGGTGCTCAGTCAAGGGCTTATTGGCAGCCAGAGCAGTCGTTGGATTCTTGGAGTCCACCTTCTGCTCAGGACGCATACCAGTGACAAGATCCATCCAGAATCTTGACCATCTGTTAGCGTTGAATAACGGGAGGATTCAGGGCGTGTACGAACCTGCAAGTGCGGACAATCTTCCATGCAATCCAGTCACCGAAAGTCCTAGGCTCACGATGGCTGGGAACAACGTTCAAGAGAACATTCTCATTCCAACCCTCGTGGGGCCACGTGAGTGGCAAATGAGCAAAGGCCTGTCCTTCAACAACCTCTGAAGTCGAAGCTGAAGGAGTAGCAGCACGTGTGGCAGGAGCGACAGGAGGAGAAACATGGCCGGTAGGAATAGCGATAGCCGGCTTCTCAGAGGTTTTGCTTGTCGAGATGGCGCGAGGATGACGGAGAGCAGCGTAGCCAGCAAATGGCGCGGGAGTGAAGAAGGACGAGCCAGCAGACACGCCCTTGGTGAAGAGCCGGAGCTTGGAACGGTCTGGGAGACGGTGAGCCATGGTTGTTGATGCTGCGAGTTTGCGACTGAAGAAGGAACGACTGTGATTCAGATGACGTCTCACTCTTCCAGGATCTCACTCAAGGGACACCACGACGAAAGGGGGCACGACGCAGAAGAAGCTTTATACAGACGAGCCATGGCCGACGCACTGGTGACTGGACAGCTCCATCACACAGAAGATCCGTATACACTTGGATATGGAAATCGCAACGCGATGGAGCTATGACGGAGATAAAAGGCACACCCGAGGATCACCGTGTGTGGAAACGAAAAGAGGCCGGAGTGGGACTTGATTCATCAAGACTGGATTGCATGTGGGAACCCGAGAGAAGGAGATGAACGGTGAGAGTGCTGTGTTTTCTTCTTTGATTCGAAGGCCTTTGCTCCGGTGGTCCATCAAGCTTCCCTTGTCCCTATCATATGGGCTATTCCGGGAAACATGCTCCATGACTTGGGAGGGGTCATCGGTGTTGACGGCGGTCGAAGAACATGCTGACACGTGTGTGCCAGGGAAACGAAGGCTGTGACTGTTTTTCTCAAGGGTCTTGTCTCCTCGGATAAGGTAATCAACGGCCAACGATCTGGGTGTGTCTCGGGAGTGGTGACTTGTTGATAGTTCATCCAGAAGTTCGGGTTCGCTGAAACATGTGAAATTCGATTGGTCGAAGCTTGTGAAGGGGTCAGCATTTGGCTGTTTGACCCTTCCCGGCATGTTCGGGAGAATGGAAGGAGTGGAACGGGTGGAGGAGGGAAAGGGATGGTGACCCATGTGAATATCCCGGGACGACGACAAGCTCGCCATGGCGATCATCGTCATCTTCGGCTATGTATTCAGCCGCAGAGCTTGGCATGATTTTGATGTTGTGAAAGGGCTGGACCGTATGATGGTGAACCTCAGGGTGATTGATGCTCGTGAAAGAAGCAGAGATGTTTGACGCATATGGCCATGTTGTGGGACTTTGACTCCCCAAGTGTAAAAAAATATCTGACTGATTAGGGGTAGACTATAGGGTAGTTAGTCCTCTATTGATAGTTGGTGCCTACCTTGACATTTGGAAGATGATAGTCGGGAGGTCTCGGAGCAACGGAAGACAAGACGTGGCTGGCTCCCGCTGAGTCAGTTTGTCAACAGCGACGGAGCTCGCGTCCTCATGGCAGCGAGAACAGCGCGCCGTCGCCATTGACCCCTCTTTGGAGATCCATCCGCCACAGGTTTTGTCAATGTGGAATGCGACAAGAATCGGGGACGAGAAAAGAGAGATGAAATGGATAACATTTTGACGGATTGCATTTGTGATGCCGACTGCGAACATTCAGTTCGAAGGAACATTCCAGACAAAGGAAGCCTAGGTATGCTTGAGTGCATCAACTTGGAAGGACCAAAGGTTGCCAGAAAATTGTGTCATCATCCTTGGCAGCTCCTTCTCCATCAAGAATGAACATGGAATTGTTGTTGCCAAAAAGACGTTCGTGATTGTTCGCACTTTCTTTTGCGAACTGCCCCACCAAAGCCGAACCCCTCCGAAAGGCCCCACTATTTGCGGGCTGTCCCTGGCATTGGCGATAACTTTATTTGTCCCGAGGTTATCCATTGGCTGGTTACAGTCCTGGACT